CCTTACATTGGCCATTTTTCAACCCTCCTTTTTTATTGAAGATGCGAGACTTTGGCACAGTAAAATAGACAGCATTCTTTATTATCTTTATCTCACATAATAATAATTAAAAAAAAAAAAAACCTGAATGGAGACCTAACCACATCCATGATTAATTAGTGTTAGGCTATTAGTGTTCCATCTCTGTAATTACTTAATTGTAAGCCGTTAACTACTGAATGTCCTAATGGCTGTGAGTTTGATTCTAGTAATTATCCTAAAGGAGGCATCAGGTGGCGTTTGATAGCCTCGCTGGCCTGTTATTGACTGGCTCCGTTCTCCCGGCTGTGGCCGTATGTCTTGGAACATTTAGCCGGCACTATAACAAACATAAAACCATTTAGAGACCAGAACAGCCACTGACCCCAGACCAGTGACACTTGGACAGGCTTGTTGTTCCTTTGGAACATGGGAATTTCAATACTCACACTCAGACTCTCTCTCACACTAACTCTCTCACTCACACACTCTCTCTCTCTCTCACTCAATTCAATTCAGTTCACACCCACTCACACTCAGGGATCGTCACACTCAGACGACGTCTTAAACCCAAACTTTTTGAAAAGCTGGTGGTGCTAAAGGGAATCGAATAGATAGATGTCTGAAACACATAGGTACACCACCTGGAGGAGTACACCATCAGTTATTTAAAATATAATTGACTTTGTGTTATTGAGTTCTTGTTCCTGAGTGCGAGGTAATGATGGTGATAAAACATAATAAAAGATGTTAGAAGTTTTGTATTTCCTACAGGGCTGGGGAAGGGAAGAGGTATATAAAATGAAAACGAAAGTTTCTAAGTAGTTGCACACATCTAAATAATTGTTGGCATTCAGAATAGGCCCAGATAGATTTCAGCCTAATAGGGATGCCTGCACTGAATTGCCAATTTCACGTGTATTTTCTGTATTTTCAAAATACAAAATACTGTATTTGTATTTAAATACATTTTTCCACACAGTATTTTGTATTTGTATTTAAATACATTTCCATGTATTTATGCCCATCCCTGCTCACACTCTCACTCTCTCACACTCTCGCTCACACACACTCACACATTCACACACTCCCACTCTCTCACATGCACTCTTAAACACACTCTCTCAACAAACATACACAATAAAATAAAAATTCTCTTTAAAAACAACCAAAATGGCTTGTACATTGTATGTGAATTGGGACATTTTTATAGTAATTTAAAGAAATGTGCTTATTTTCTAAAATCATTTACATGAATTAAAAAGCTGTCTTTATTTGAGCTTTAGAGTTATCATTTTATGGTTTATGGCATAGCAACCAAGTTGTAAAATTGCTCAAATCTGCTAAGAAAAATCGCTCGCCGCCATGCAAAATTCCCGATCATGCGGATTACTATTAAAATAGTTTGATTTTTCCCACAAAAACAACAGCGGCTTTCCACTGTCAGGACAAACAGGTCCAGTAAGAGTTAAATGTGACCCCACCTGAAGTGCCTCACTCCAACCCACTCTTTTCAATAAATAGAGGTCAAAATACATGTGTGGTAATTAATATCATGCTACGAGTGTTTCTGATTGAGCTTAACCCGCATTGATCCTGGAATATTCCATTTAACCTTTTTTTTGAGCCAACCATGAACATGACACATCCCAGTTATTACACAAGCGAGCGAGACAGTCCTGAGGGCTACGAATGTGTCTCCAGATAAGAATACGTGTGCCCTCCTCCGGCCTATCAGTCGCTCTATCTCCCCCGCTGCCTTTTCTTTTACCATTACAGCCGTTGTTCAAATGATAAGGTCAACCTTACTGATCCCTCTGTGTCCTGACCATTACTCTTTTCTCTCCGCGTCTCCAACATCTGCCTATTCGTATTCATTTGGCACTCCTAAAAAGGTCATTTTGTGGACAGGGAGCAAATTGCTGTGCATACCCTGCGTCTGAGCCCCTAACTACATTTTCCAGGATTTAGTAACGTCTGTGGCAAGCTGTAAAGCTCAATTTGCCTGATGCATGTGCACATCAAGACCCTTCAAAGCCTGCGTTTGGAGGGAGTTGGCCCTCTTTTCAATAAGGAAAGGCGAATGCATGCATTCAGGAGGACCTGGCGTGACGACCCGAGCATGTGATGTTACTGTCCCGCTACATTTGTAAAGCGCGTGCCGCTGAAACACACGTGTCTAAATTTGAAATCACACTGCGGTTACGCCGTGCACCCAGATGGGTTTGAAACGTTTAATTATGGTGGCTGTGTTGCCATATGCTTGGCTTTTGCCTGTGTAATTTGTATTTGTGCGCACAGGCGGTCATGGAACGCACTTTTTTTTTTATCTGTGCTGTTAACGGACTTAAAAATATCCCGTCGGATGGATTCAGATTAGTTATTAGATACAGTAGACTTGAACAGGACTGTAATTTTACTGCGGCCGATGTGCAAGTGACAGTGCCAAATATAGAGTTCGCTAAACTTTTGCAACACTTTAGCTCAACGCAAGTTCCAGTGATTTATATAATGATATATATATATATATATATATATATATATATATATGAAGAGTTCAGATGCAAAAGCCTCTAAATGCCATTTGAAATGTTCTTCTTTAATGATGATTTTTATCAAACTTGTATATTTAAATTCAGTAATTTCACTTAAATAACAATTAATAGGTAATTATCATTGCCATTTAAGTGAAATCACTGAACTTAAATATACAAGCTTGATAAAAATGGTCATTCTAGAAGAAAATTTCAAATGGCACTTAGAGGCTTTTGCATCTGAACTCTTCATATATATATAGAAGAAGACTCACCAAAGCTTCATTAATTTTGATCAAAAATACAGTAATATTCTGAAATATTATTAGCATGTAAAATAGCTGTTTTCTATGGGAATATATTGTAAAATATAATTTATTCCTGTGATCAAAGCCGAATTTTCAGCATCATTACTCCGATGATCCTTCAGAAATCACTCTAATATGATGATTTGATGCTCAAGAAACATTTATGATTATTATATATGTTTAAAACAGTTTTTGCTGCCTAATGTTTTTTTGTGGAAACCATGATTTAGTGCTGCTCAAAAATGTGGGGTATTTTTATTTTATTTGATTTAATTCAGAATTTAAAAAAAAAATGCTTTTATTCATCAAGGATGCATTACAAGTGACATTAAAGACATTTATAATGTTCCGAAATATTTATATTTCAAATAAATGCTGTTCTTTTGCACTTTCTATCCATCATAAAATCCTGAAAAAAAAAATAATGATGGTTTTCACCAAAATGTGCAAGTTTTCAACAACCTGGAAACTGTTATTTTATGGTTTAATTCTTATCTAAAGGGAAGGACCCAATGTGTTCAGGCGGAAGGTTTTCAGTCAGATCCATTGGAGGTCGTTAAGGGAGTCCCTCAAGGATCTGTTCTAGGTCCGTTATTATTTAGCATATATATATAAATTGTTTGGATTTTAATATTGAAAATACAAGGTTTCACTTTTATGAAGACGATACAATTATATATTGTTCAGATCCACCTAAGCAACAATCTGAGGCTTTCTTACAGTCTGCTTTCGATATTATACAAAATAGGTTTTGTGCATTGAAGCTGGTCCTAAATGAGAAAAAACCCAAATGTATGCTATTCTCAAACTCTAAAATCTCTACTGAGAATTCAATCTCTCTTTTGACTTTTCAGGGTAATCTGATTACACCAGTATCCGAGTACAAATACCTTGGCATCATTATCGATAACACATTACGTTTTGGGTCGCATATTAATTATCTGAGGCAAAAACTTTAGGATTTTATTTTAGAAACAAATCATGTTTTTCATTTAATGTGAGAAAGAAACCTTTTTATCAGTTCTTGACTATGGGGATGTAGTATATCAGCACGCCCCCTCTTACCTCCTTGTCTCCCTGGATGCTCTGTACCATGGTGCTTTGAGATTTATAACTGGATGCAGATTTTCGACACACCATTGTGACCTATATAAAATGGTTGGTTGGTCGTCGTTGAGCATTAGAAGGAAAAAGCACTGGTATTAATTGATATACAAAGCTATATTGGGTTATTTACCCCCTTATCTTTGTTGTCTTAGTTATTCATTACGTTCTAAATCGATCTACAATTTGCGTGTGCCTTTTGTCATAACCGAGATGCGTAAAACCTCTTTTAAATATGCCGCAGCATCGGATTGGAATCTTGTCCAGACTGAGATGAAGTTAAAAGAAATAGTACCTTGTGGTCAATTTAAATATTTAAAAACTTTGATGTTAAATGTCCATGTAAACTAAGCTGCTTATCTTGGCCAGGACACTCCCGAAAAAGAGATTTTAATCTCAGTGAGTCTTTTTCCTGGTAAAATAAAGGTAAATAAATAAAACCCTTTCAAATGACTCACATCAGCGTCCACTTTTAAAACTTTTTTTCACAGATCAAGCTTTGCTCACATTATATTCTTTATTTAATAAGATAAGTTTAAATGACTCTAATATATATTAGAGTCATTTATAGACATTTCATAGAGAATATGTGGTGTAATAAAAAAGGAATCAACTGATAAATAAAAGCAACCAGGACATATACAGTTTCAGTAAGGGAGCACAATAAAAAAAAAAATTTATTATTATTTTTTTATTTTTATTTTTTTAGTTTTTTTTAAAATTGATTTTCTATTTTAATTCTACATTAATAATTATTCATTCTGTTGTTTCTGCTGATATTATCATTCATTGAGTTGTATACATCTAAATGTATTTTGTTTTCTTTTGCTTTTTTGTAAAATTTAAAATCCTAATAAAAATACTTATTAAAAAAAAAAAAAGAATATGTGGTGTATAAAAAGCAACCTTTTACAACTCAAACTACGCTAAACATAGAACAAATTCACAAATCCTCTTCTCACTGTGTGGTCACTGTAACAGCATGTTTGGTCTACAAACAGACTCGAATGTTTTGTTTGTTATTCCTGCGCTGTAGGTCCGGAGGGCTTGGGTTTTAGCATCACCTCCAGAGACGTGCCCATCGGCAGTTCGGCCCCCATATATGTGAAGAATATCCTCCCCCGTGGAGCCGCCATCCAGGACGGGCGTCTGAAAGCTGGAGACCGGCTGCTCGAGGTGAGAAACACTGAAGCTCTTGAGCATCACATGACCTCTGTGACTTCCTCTCACAGCTTCCTCAACTTCCTCTACAAACATTTCAGCAGCAAATATGGCTTTTCTTTGATTAAAAAAAAAACTTCTTCCGTTCCCTGTTTCATACCAAGTACCGTCGAATTGTTTTCCAGAGGATTTCCGTTCTTAGTTCATTCTGCTGGTCCATCGGAGACGACATGTCTCATTGTTTTCCTCTCTCCCTTGTGAGAAGCACTTTCCTTTTTAGTTTCGGAAAGTAAATAATGTTCATAAAAGAGAATGGACAAAAAGAACTGATTTACAATGACAGCCAATCAACAATGGCCATTTCATTTAGAAATGGAGCAGGACACCTGCAGGCTCTCATGCCAGAACGTCATCCATTTGGCTTAACAAACCCTGATTCATCGCTTTAATGGAGTCAAGGCCTTTCAGAGTGCTGTCGGTTCACCATGGGCCTTTATGTTGCCATAGAAATATGAGGACTATCTCCTGTTGTCATGGTCACAATAATGCGACTGCCATTAATTGAAATGTTTGATCAGATATAATTGCACAGAACGCAATTCGTGCTTTATTAAACACCCTTTCAAATGACTCGCATCAGTAAAAAGTGCCACTTTTTCACAGGTCAAACTTAAATACTGTATATCATGATCTGATAAACTGATATTGAGAACATTATGTATTAAAATAAAATGATATGTGGCTACTGTCAACAAAAACACCTCCAGGAATTGACCGGTGTGCTTTCTGAAACTACATCCCAGGCATGATACACTGTTCCCAATGCACTGATATTATACACACATATCCTTTATATATATCGTTATAGTATCATTTAGGATTTATTGTGTTTGTTTAAAGGGATACTTCACCTCTGGAAAGATGAATGTGTATTTAAAATGGGTCATTTGTGTAAAAGAAATTAGACATTATTTTTGAATTTGGAGCTTTATAGACTGAGAAAAGACAGAAAATGTATTTTTGGCTTATATGGATGAAAAACAACAACTCCCAGAATGCACTTGCTACACAGTAGCTACACAGTAGTTAAAGAGTAACTAAACACTTAACCGACTTTTTTTAGTTAATGATCTGTAAGAATGGATCTTTATTAATACCAGTCATTGATCCGAGTAACTTTTTTGACATTTGTTTATAAAGTGTTTTATTTCTACAATATATGGTGTAAAAGCGTCTTAGTGCTGCCCTCTTCAGGTTGAACGGTGGCTACTGCAGTTGAATTTTCCTATTGGATGTTCCGCACTTCGTGACGTACGCAGGTTTCAGCATAAAAACCATCTTGTGTCGTCAAAACCACTGTAGGGAGTCAGGAATTGGAATTGCGATTGTATTGAAAACGATCAGGATAGAGTGTTTTAGCATCGATTTCGTCCCCTCTATCTCCGCTGGGGTCTGCCCACTTTTTCAGCATTTCAAATATTGCCAGTGGGTGGAGTCAGGCTCTGACCAGGGGTTTAGTTACCCTTTAAACAACAAGTCTAGGCTAATAGTGATGAGTCTGCCCGAAAATGTGTTTCGAGATCGCCCACAATTTTTTGCGTTCTACAGTCGCCATTCATTATGTTTATTGTTTACTGTGGCGAGCAGGACGAGTGAGGGCCGCGGGAGAACGGTGTGAGGATGGTAACCCCTACTACTCCGCTTTCTCCACAGAACAAGAGCCTGCTAGCTTAGCTTCCAAAAAAAAGATGGCCGACACTATGTGTTCATTCTGTGAGTGAGATCGCCCTCTATGGGCGGGTTGAGGACATGCGGGACAGACCCGACTACTGAGTGTAGTCTTTAGCCTCAGGACAAACAATCCTCCGATGACACCAAATGACGTTTTTTACATTGTTTGTCAAGACAAAAAACACATAAATCTCTCGTCTAAGGGGGATATGAGGGTGGAAAGCACGGTAATTTAAAAATACTAAAGGTTTCCTTCTAATACAGTCTTAATGTTAAATCCTGAAGTATCCCTTTAATGCAAATGGCTTACAAAATGTATTTAATAAATAATTTATTGTTGAGACAAATATTTAGCTCTTTTGTGTGTGTGTGTAGGTGAATGGAGTGGATCTGAATGGTAAGACTCAGGAGGAGGTCGTGGCTCTGTTGCGCTCGACTCCCATGGGAGGCACTGTAGGTCTTCTCATCGTCAGACAAGAGGACGCTTTCCTGCCCCGCGAAGTGGTGAGTCACTCAAACACACACACACCTAAATGTGCAACCTTCTTAAAATGGTTTAACAATGGCCCCAGTAAAACGGTCTCTCGATATCACACAGAGTTCATATAGCTCCATGAAATGGCCTCTTCAACTCCTTCCCTGCCTCGGGCCTATTTAGGTCACATGTGTGCCACGGAGGCAGCTGCCACCCGCCTTAACTCATTTTGAAGTCATTATTATTTCCATAATAGATAATTCAGGAGTGCAAATGAACTCCAGGCTGCCTTGACATTTGTATGCAGATTTATTTCTTGGTCGACATTCCATAAAGATGCTTCTTTATTGAGTCAGTGTGGAGGGTTCCCATTGGCTGTCTCAATGAACTGCTGTTTGCAGCATCAGTGCAGTTCCTCCTTTCCTATATGCGGTATGATCAAGTCATGTCCAGGTCCAGCCCCATTCTGTTTTCTAAAATGATATGTATCATAAAAGTCTAGAGCAGACAGCCAGTGCCGTTTAGTGATTGTTTAACATGACATATTTTGTGTTTCCTATAAGTGAGTCTCTTCACTAAAGGGAGTTGGCAGTCATTTAAATCAAATTGTACTTTGCTGGTTAGTGTTCGTGCAACATCGAACTGCAATTACACTATCAAATGTCTCAGAGGTGAATATATGCAGGCATGTAAGAGTCTCTATTCATTTGGAGAAAACCAACATTATGTAAAATTAAGCTGTATGGGTGAGGACTTGGAATAGAGTGATAATGGATCATACCCTGCCATTACTTTGACAATAATATTTTAAAACTTCTAATATGAATTTACAGTTTTTTACACACGTTTTCAAAACAAAGTCTCCTTTTTTCAAAACTCTACACACAATTCAGAAACTGCGCACAAGAAATGCAAAATTACGGACCCCGCCTAGTCCCACTCTGGCAAAAAAATAATAATTATAACTATCTTGTTGCCTCAAGATAGTAACTCGTGGCCTCAAGATAGTAATTCGTGGCATCAATATAGTAACTTGTGGCCTCAAGATAGTAATTCGTGGCATCAATATAGTAACTCGTGGCCTCAAGATAGTAATTCGTGGCATCAATATAGTAACTTGTGGCCTCAAGATAGTAACTCGTGGCCTCAAGATACTATTTCTTGGCCTCAATATACTATTTTGTGGCCTCAAGATACTAACTCGTGGCCTCAAGATAGTAATTCGTGGCATCAATATACTAACTTGTGGCCTCAAGATACTATTTCTTGGCCTCAAGATACTATTTTGTGGCCTCAAGATAGTAACTTGTGGCCTCAAGATACTATTTCTTGGCCTCAAGATACTTTTTCGTGGCCTCAAGAAAGTAACTCGTGGCCTCAAGATAGAGTTAGTATCTTGAGGCCACGAGATAATATCTTGAGGCCACGTGTTAGTATCTTGAGGCCACGAATTACTATCTTGAGGCCACAAGTTACTATCTTGAGGCCACGAGTTACTATCTTGAGGCCACGAGTTACTATCTTGAGGCCACGAGTTACTATCTTGAGGCCACGAGTGTAGTGTTTTGAAAAAAGTGTTTTATGCAATTGAAAACTGAGTCAAAGGCTGAGAAATAGCTTATGGTTTTGAAGATTTGGCATGTAGTTTTGCACTTTGAGTGAGAGGTTTCAAAAATCGTGTGACATGAAAAGATTGTGTTTGTAAGCAGTTGAAATACTCCAAATGTATGCAGTGAGTGAAAGTTTAATTCTATATTAACTTCATCTGGGTTTGATGTGTTAGAAGGTAACATGCATGTCAACAATTGCATTCAAACTCTTTTATCTAATGTTAAATATGGTCTAAAATGTGTAGAATAGTGACAGTTTGTAGGAATCCTGCACTTGATTATTGGCAGATTTTCTTGAAAATTAAACCCAAGTAAATGAGCGCTTTAAAGAAGTAGTTCACTTTTTAAAAAAAACAAAAAAAACTTTTGCTGATAAGTTTTTCAGTCGAAAAGAAATTATTTTTTTTGATGAAAACATTCCAGTATTTTTCTCCATATAATGGACTTCAATGGGAACCAAACGGTTTAAGGTCTAAAAGACAGTTTCAGTGATGAACGAGTTCAAACAGGAGAGTCACAAACGTGCGTCACAGAACAGAGCAAGGTGAGCATTTGTGCTTATAAAACTTAAACTTCGTTATTTATTTATTAAATGAGCGATCGTTTCGCTTGATAAGACCCTTATTCATCGTCTGGAATCGTTTAAAGCCCTTTGAACAGTTTGCACTGAAACTCTCTTTTGGATCTTGAACTGTTTGGTTCCCATTGAAGTCCATTATATGGAGAAAATCCTGGAATGTTTTCATCAAAAACCTTGATTTCTTTTCGACTGAAAAAAAAAAGACATGGACATCTTGGATGACATGGGGGTGAGTAAATTATCAACAAAAGTTTTTTGAAAAGTGAACTACTTTAACTTGATTTGATTCGTTCTGAAATGCAGTTCAAAAGACAGTTAATAATGCATCAATTTAGTGGTGTGTCATTTGATTTACAGAACCAATTCTATATAAACTGGATACAGTTCTGGATAAAACTGACTGGGACTTTTAAAGTCGGAGCATAATAATATATTTTCAGAAACACCGCCACATGAATATCTTTGACAACCAATGGCAGATTCCCAACAAAGAGGGAACATTCTGGCAAGGTTATGAACCAACATTCTTCCAGAAACGCTAATATAACGTCCGTTCAAAAATGTGTGGTGTTTAATAATTTTCTCAAATCATTAGCACAGCAATATTTATACATCGTTCATGGAACTTTTGTCTAAAATATCCGAGAACGTTCCCATAATTTTTGCAAAATGGTCAAATGGGATGTTCCCATAAGGGATTGATTTTTGGGGTGATTGAGAGTGGTTGAAGACGAGCTTTGACTTTCTCTCCTTGGCTCAGGCAAGATTTGATTAAAGACGCCATCATGAAGACACACTTTCACAAACTCTCCCACTCCGCCTCGTTTCTCATCAACTCCCCCTTAAAATTTGGAGTTTAAGACATCCGAACGACAGGGGTGGGAAGAGATAAACTGTTGGATGCTTCATTACTCTTATTGTCACATTAACATTCAGGAGGCTTTAGCTTTGCAACGCGCCCCGTTCAGGCATTAAAGGATCTCAATAATCCATACAAGTATGTTCATAAAAATCAGATTACAAAAGCATCGCTCCACCGCTGACAGTTATTGCAAATAAAGTGGAGAGAGAGAGAGAGGACAGGGGACGGTTATTGATGCTATTTTGTAGATGTGCGAGAGAGAGAGAGAGAGAGTGAGTGGTGGTTTTATATGAAGATATGGGAAGGCTGTCATGAGCCAATCACAGTGCCGGACCATTAACGCATCAAAGACCGAGTGACATGCTCTGCCACCGTGACAGGTTACAGTCTAATAAATCAACACTGCCAAGTACTTATGCTTTTCGATATTTAAAGACATGACACAATTAACCTCAAATTAGCATAACGACAATGTGAGAGAAAGTAATAGAGCGAAATTGGACATAGTTGGCTCTAACCCCTAACACACGCCGAGGGATCTTATTTATTTATTTTCATTTATCTGCATGCATGCGATTAGCCTCCAGACGTCTAGGGAATTGCAGACATTTTACGAAAGCGTGAGTGTCAAATGTGGGCCGGCAGAGGCAGTGACTTATTGATAGGGGCGTCAGCTTTAACCTTTGCTCACAGCCGAAGTCCAGTCCTGAGGGAACCGCAGAGAAAAATGAGCTTTGATGCCCCCGGCCAGCCCTCGCCCTTTAGAGAAAAAGAGAAAGAGAAGCGAGAGAAGGAGGAGGCATGCTCAGTGAACTCCAAAGAGGAATCGATGAAGTGTTGTCCTTGGAGTCTTCTGCACTCTGGGCTGGTGTTAGTTGAGTGCAATTATAGGTCATGTGCCACTCAATGTGTCATATACTCAGGAGATTACTGATCTTTAAACAACTGAGTTGTTGCTTTGTTTGCTGCTCCTGACAGGTGGATTGAGGCTCGCGGACACATTGGGGTCAATCTTAAGGGCTGTTCACAACAAGAACCATAACTATAAAGATAACTTGAAAAATATTAGAAACTCAACACTTTTGTTTTCGCCCCCATTTTTCAGACTTTTTCTATGGACACAAATGGCCAGTGTGGCCAAATTGAGGCCAGTGAAAATGCTGAGGAAAACCACTAGCCACAGAGCAAACAAGTTAAGTCTACTGTCTACTGAGCAAACAAGTTAATGTGAAGCCCTGTTTACACAGTTACAGCACCCTGTCGCCCAAGACTGGTTCCCAATGAAACTAAGCAGGGCTGAGCCGGGTCAGTACCTGCCAGGTGTTAGTGAGGCCAACAGGGGGCACCTCACCCTGTGCTCTGTGTGGCTCCTAACGCCCCAGTAAAGTGATGGGGACGCTATACCTTAAAGGGATAGTTCACTTTGAAATTAATTTTTGGTATGTTTTATCTTACCTCAAGGGCATCCAAGATGTAGGTGTCTTTGTTTCCGCAGTATTTTCAATTTTGACATTTTTCAGTCAAACCGTTGTTGTCAATCAGTCATACACTGGAGGCTAAGGGGGTCCACCAAAAAGCATGCAGAGAAGTCCAAATTAAACATGATTTAATGACTCGTAAATGTAAGTACACATTGATGGCCTAAGACGCGAAACGAGCGGTTTGTGTGAGAAAACGAACAGTATTTATATCGTTTTTACCTCGTGTAATCACAGTGATCTGAATCAGTTGTTCAATGTCCAACTGAACCGAACTGAATCAGTTCAATGTTACGCCGGAAGTGATCGCTTGCGTGTGACGTCACTCAATATTTACACAGAGATTTCGGACGTTTTACCTTTTACTAAACATATTTAGAGATACCGATATCGTCTTCCATTGCGGTTTCCCGTATATCTAAATATGTTTAGTGAAAGGTAAAACTTCCCAAATCTCTGTATAAACAAAGAGTGACGTCACACGCAAGCGATCACTTCC